GTAATATGAGAACATCATTGGCATGTAGCATTCATCTGTCAACCTTTCCCTCTCTCTCTCTCTATCTCTCTCTCTCTCTCTCTCTGTACATGTACCATCTTTGTAATTATCATTCGGTCATTGTCTTCCTTTACATCGTTTTAAACTCAAATTTCAACCTTTTTTTTATTTCTCATGCATTGCATCATCATATTCACCTTGTAATTAGTTATATCAGCCCTCTCTCTCACTACCCTCTCTATGATATAGAAGCTATAGAGTGTGAAAGAGCAAGCTTCATATAGACTTGCGTGCATGTAGCTCATCCAGCTTTATCTCATTACTACTCGAATTAACACAAATGATACTTCTCTATCACTTTGAGAAAGATCTTTTTTGCTTAACTTGCTCTAATTCAACCCAAATATGGCTTGTTGTTTGTCTCACTCAATTGACTTTTAAGTTTTAAGCTTGTGTGAGAAGGATAGAGAGCGAAGTTGATGTCTTGTTCGTCTCACCCAGAGTATCCATATTCGTCTGTCGTATAAGCTACTCCTACTTCATTCTTTTTCCATTTTTTTTCTCTCTCCTATCTCTATCTCTTTTTTTTGTGTGTCTGTGTTCCCTTTTAGTTCAACGAGTGAATGCCCTCAGGCGATCTGTTGCTTTGGTACTCGTGGGAATACAAGTTGAAGCTTTTCCATTCATTTTTCCTCTTCGAATTTTTCCGTCGTCATGTGCGAAATGCCATCAAACATGGCCAAAGACTTACAAATATCGAAGTTATATGATGAATGTTCAATAGGCAGAATATGTGAACATCAACATGGCTTCATTCGTTCCTAAGATGAAGATGTGAATAGAATTCTCTTTTTCATCATCATCTTCTTTACAAATCATACTTCAGCTTCTTTCTGCTATGTTGCCCAATGAACATGATCGTTGAGAGAGAGAGAGAGAGATGGCAAATGAAAGTTTTTGTTTTGATTTTCGTTTCAAGACCATCTTCTCTGCATGCTATTCCTCAAGATATTACCTTGATTGCGCTATGCTATCCATCTTAACCGGAATTCTGTAACTTTCCTCTCCTTAATTAGAAATTGTCTAATGGCGGTTCTATGAACGATAGATTTACGACTTGTTATCATTTCATTCTATCATTCCTATTTTCACTTTGTGTCCCCATTGTTTAGAGAGAAACAGATATAGAGAGTGAAAGAGATAGAAAGAGAGAGAGAGAGAGAGAGTTGTGAAGAAGACAAAATTCCTTACAAGGAATGGAATTGGTGGGGGGGGGTTGTGATGACTGGAGAGGCTGTTGATGTTCCATCATTTAATTTCTCTTCATCATATCATCAGCGCGAGAAGAAGTTTTGTAAATGACTTTATTGATTAAAATAATTATCAGATTATATATTTAAATATATTATTATGGCTACTGCTGCTTGTTATAGCCATCATCTTACTCACTGTAGCTGCCTTATCATTCGTCTATACTATATGCAAATGAAGCTTTATGTGCTAATGTAATTCATTTGCTTAAGCCTCATCTTTTGATTTTTTTTCATTTCTCTCTTTCTCTCTCCTCACCTCTCTCTCTCTCTCTTTTCATGTTTCTCTATCTCTCTTTGTGCTTTCATTCATATAATTTGAAGATGCTCAACCTTTTTTTGAAGGCTTTTCATCCAATCCGTCCTAATCCATCATTCAACACTAACTCTTTATAACGTCTTCAAATTATATTCATCTTGGTGCTTTTTCGGTTACGTCGGGATTTGCTTCTTCACGTTGATGCGTCAAGTGGCCTCTCCACTTGCTGACTGACCGTATCCCATCTGCTGATCTTTTCGCCTTTTTTTTTCTCCTTTTTTGGAACCTTTTTTTAACCTATAGTTAGTATGAATAGTAGATAGGAGGGTAAGATAAAGCATTACAAAGAGAGAAATAGAGAGAGAGAAGAGGAGGAGTGTAAGAGAAATCCACAACAACGACCACCCCAGAAGCTTTCTCATACAATAGCCGAATGAAGAAGCTTCTTCAAATCTACGGCATATCCTTGTTCGTTCATAACTATATCATATAATATCTTCTCTCTCTATACTATATGATTCATATGTGTTCAAGTATTGAATATGAATCTGAACGGCATTTTCATAAATTCAATTATCATTGTGTTGAATTGATACATATAAGGAGATGTGTGGATGATGAGATGAGATTCATGCTAATGAACAGATTCATATGCATCTAATTACTAATTATATATTTAAAACTTTAATTATATTAACTATAACACTATCTAACACCATAACCATCTTTTAGCTAGTTGGTTGTTAATGCATTTTATCTTTTCAACATATCTGACCACCATCATCGACCATCCATCCATCCATCCAACCATCTACCCAACCATCTCCCCAATCATCATACTCACTATTCGCTCTCTTCTACCGACCGCTAATTTATAACACAATGACAACAATCTTTATTCATTTTCTTTTTTAGATTCTCATTTAAAACAAATGACATTTCCACATGTCAACTAATGCTTTTTGACCTTTTTAACGAAGTTACAAACATTCTCCTTATATGTCATTCATTTCAAGACGTTCAGAACGGTTGATTCTCTCTCTCACTCTTTCATCTCTTTATTCTTCTTCACCTCTCCCTCTCTCTCTCTCTCTCTAACTCTTCCTCTTCCTCTACATTCCCTTTGAACTGTTCATTTATTGAAATTATTTATTTCAAATGCTTCTGATTAGACTTTTCCTTTCACCTCATCCTGTCCTGCTTTCCTTTTGAGAAGCAGCTGGTCCTCCTGATTTTCAGTTTCCTTCTGCTTGTCCTTCATCACACAGAAAATGGAGACTATTCATCTGTTTCTTTCTTTTCCTCATTATTTCTTGTTTTTTTTTGTCTTAAAAGGAGTTGTCTCATATGATTGTCTTGGATATTCAACCATACGGCTTCCGTTGAGTTCAAACGTTCCCCTTCCTTTCCCTCCCATTCTCTCTCTCTCTCTCTTACTGTCTTTCCTTCTCTCTTCATTACTCTCTTTCTTTTCATTTAAACCTTTTCTTCTTTATAAAAGTTTTTCCTTTTCATTCCGTCAAGGTATGATTGGCTTTCTGATGAGAATAGCGTTGAAGATTTCCGTTGTCGGAATGGTCAATGTGAATGTTTTGGTCATTCAAGTATTTACTTCTTCTGGTCTTTTCCCATCCTCCTTCATACCGACAGACGACCATTTCTTATGCGCCAAAGATGTTTGAATGACTTAACTCAAATAGTTAATTCAAATATTCATCGTTGAAGTGAAAGTAAAAAAAGATTTTTCTCTCTCTTTCTCTCCTTCTCTCTCTCACCAACCTGTAACTATAGCCTGTCTCTCTTATGTATACCCACACACATACATAACACATCTCATCATGCTATACGTAATACCTGATTACCATATCCTATTAATTCTCATTCGACAATATCATGAAGAAGTAGAAGATGAATGAATTTCTTATTCTGATTCTTCCCTTTTCCTCTTCCCCTCTCCCCACCTTCTCCTTCACCCCCCTTGTAGCCGTCCAAACAATTCAATGTAACGGTCATTGATACTCTCCTTTCTTCATATTCTTTACCTTATTTGCACAATATGATTTATTACCTCATTTTAATGTTCAAAGCCTTTCTACCTGACTTGTTGAGCTTATAATTCACAAGCTAACTCATTCGACATTACCTTTTTGCTGTTTCACAAATCTCATTTGTACTCTCTCTCTCTCTATCTCTCTCTAACCATACCAGTCTCTCTTGTAGATGAATAATCTTTTGACATCTCTGAATCTTTGCGTCTCTTCATGGTTAACCTTTGACAGAATGTCTCATCGACCTCATCCATCTCTCCAATAATTCAGTTGCAATTAATGCATAATCCACCAGATTGCTCGTCACTTGGCTTATAAGCTCCTCCCTCTTGAACAACTGAAGAAATGGAAGAGTTATTCATTTGTACCTGCTTACATATCCCTTCTTTACCATATTGCTCTCTGATCTTGCCGACAACCAATTTTTTCTTTTTTTTTTTCGAACAAAAAATTTTCATTCTTAAACTATCTTACACTCCTTACTCATTAACTATTCTCATCATTTGAATATGTAATGACAAACCACATTCATTTCTAAACTTTTTAAAGCTTAAACAAGGCTTCTTCTAAGCTTTTGCTCTTTGCTCTTTACCATCTGTGTACAGTCATAGCAGCATTCAGTGCTCTCTTAAACATGTAAAACGACCTATTAGTCCTATCTCTTAGCTTTTTGACACATCTGCTCATTCAAACTTATCCTTACCATATAGCTATTCATAGTAAAGATATTGCATGTACAGTATGTGTATCATCATCTGTTGAGCAGAAGAATTCTCACCCTCTCTGTTGATATCCTTCTCTTCTTCTTCTTCAATCTCATATCTTACATTATAAACTCTCTCTCTATAAGCATATCTCAGCTTCTCATAGATTAGCACCAGTCAGTCTACTTACCATAAACAGTTTGTTTGTTTATTTCTCACATTCCCATAGTTTTCATTGCCTATCTCGTCATTATCTCCTTTTTTTTATGTTCTGGTAGTTGCTTCTTCTGATTCTCAATCATCATCATCATCATCACTTCTTCTTCTCTCTTTCTTTCTCCCTCTCTCTTCATTTCTCTCGAATCTGTCTCCCATTCTCAGCCTTAATAGAATGTTGCCGTCAGCGTCAATTCGTAAATTATGAACTTTAATGAATTTTTTTATTCATTTAAATCTCATCAGCCTAATGTTTTTCAAGTTCTCAAGCCTAATGATGTATGGGAAAATGGAAGTTACATGTGAAAGAACAGTAACATCCATTTGTAGCTTACATCCATCACAATTCATTCATTCAGTCTATCCACATCTACTCCAGTTGTCTTCTTCATTTGATCGTCTTCGTCTTTATTTTATCTTCATCGTTTACCTCATATCTTATTAATTCATTCTCATTTTGCAGATGATGATGCGTATAAGCATCTTACTCATATCGTTCTTCGTCCAATACAGCTCAGCTTGCCAAACTGGCTGTGAATGTCCCACGAAGACTGTCGCCATTTGCTCATCAGCACACTTTCGGACAATTCCAATACTTCTTGATCCACGTATAACCGTATTGGATTTATCGAACAATCAAATCAGTCGACTATCAGCTGATGACTTGAGTGTCTATCCAAGTAAGTATTACCTTTTAATGTCTTTTTTCCATAACATCTAACCCATTTCGTTTATCTTCTTCATCAAAACTATTATATTTAACTTATTGCCCATTTCATACGAGCTAATGGCATCATTTTCCATTTACCGACGACATGATCTTGACACCATCGAGATGACGATAAATCTCCTTGTAGTTGCTGTCGGCATTACATCACGTATCCATCAAACTATTTTGACCTTTGTCACTCACTTTGCTGTGAAAAATATAATAATATCCATATTTGGGGAATGATGATGATCAAGCTTTCGTATCCTCATTGTCATACTACATACTCCTGGTCACAATGCAAATTCATTTTTCTTTTAACGTCTAATCATTTCAAATCGATCAAGTAGAACAGATGGATCAAACATACTCATTATTCTATCTTTTTCTTTTATATTATTTCTTTCATAACTTATTCACTAATCGCATAATCGTTGAATATCTCAAGTCTCTCATCATTCGTTTGTTTCTTTGCCGACACAAAGATTTAACCACCTGTCCATCTCCTTATATCACTCAAATCATCAATAGCTTCTGTTTTTGAAATAATCCTCTTTCCGCAACATTTTCAAATTTCTATGGAAATATGCTAATTTCTTAAGCGCGTATTCACTCTTGCGTGATTTTCATTTAACTAATTGCTTACGCTTAAAACGGTTGTGTTTCGAATTTCATCATCATCCAACTCTCTCTCCCTCAGTTTGCGCACCCCTCGTCTGCTTCAACTCCTCCAATTGAGTCGAAACTTGATTTAGAAAACATGTCACACTGGAATTATTTTTTTTTTCAAAAATTAATTCTAACTTTGAATATGTATGTCAACTGTTATCCTCGCATTGGCGGTCAACCTGTAGTGAACATGACGCCATCGAGACGGGACATGAGGCTCGGCTTTAATTAGCTCCCAAATACCGACAGCTCAGAATTTCTTTTGAAGTTGACACAATCGTTGCGTTTAAAGAAAAGTTGTATAGAGTCTAGCCTTATTAATAAGACTTCTAATTGCTTTCGGTCAGTTGAATGTCCAAAAAAGGACTTTCAATTGTCCATTGATTGCTGTGTGAGACGATTAACTCTTTCTTTCTTCCTTTATTCTTATTTGAAATCTGATCCTCTTATTCAAAAAAACCGTATGCCTAGTCAATACCTTGTTCAGAAGAATAAAGTCAAAAACTCATTTTCTACATTTTCAGACTTGAAACGATTGTCTCTTCGGAATAACTCCATTAGCCATCTGTCGTCTGATGTTTTTGCTTCATTAAATGATTTGGAGCAATTGGATTTATCATCGAATCAAATACTCTTCCTGCCCAGTCATGTGTTCAGGAACCTTCGCAATCTCAAGGTGAGAATTTTATTGTTTCATTCTTACAAATAACTCTTGTTTCTAATTTATAGCGATTAGATCTATCTTACAATGAGATCGAGCTCAATCAGGACAGCCTGACAGGATTGGCTGCTTTGAAAACGCTTCAGTTGTCAAATAACCGTCTCTCTTATCTGCCACCATCAATTTTCCGTCCTTGTGCCGTCCTAGAAGAGTTGGATTTATCATATAATCAGCTTCATGCAATGCCTGCAAGTCTAATGGCTAACTTACCAACCCTGCAAAGACTTCATCTCCAACATAATCTTCTTCCAACCGTATGTTTTTTATCCTTTTAATCCCTTACTTATCCTTTTCTTGTTCAGTTGGAGACCGGCATGTTCAATGCTCAAAAGGAACTTGAATACTTGGATTTATCTTCGAATATTCTGTCGGAGATTCAAGATGCTGCCTTCTTTGGCATGGATAATCTGACTGTTCTCAACATGACCAATAATATGCTAAGCCGATTACCCGGAAACGCTTGGCCTTTGCCCGCTTTACGAGTTCTGGATCTTAGCGCCAATCTCTTCGTTGTACTGGAGACAGCAAGTTTTGATGATTTGCCATCATTGAGATATCTCAATCTCTCATATTCCACCAATCTTCGCACCATTCAGGTAAGAGCAAATCAAAGACTTTGTTCATTCATAATCATAATTTTCAGATGTCTGCTTTCGTCTGCTTGTCTGCCCTTAATTGGCTCTCATTAGCGCATTCATCCTTGGCAACAATTTCATCTGCCGCCTTCGCACCTTTCCCACCTCTTCGTCATCTGGATTTAAGTCATAACCAGCTTGTATCAGTTGCACCAGAGTTGAACATTGCTCGTGTTCCATCTCTCCTGCTCCAGAACAATAGCTGGCACTGTGATTGCGATTTGAGGTAAATATAATATTCACATTTCTTAAAATCGTAATTTTTGTTTCAGAGCTCTCAATCTGAACTCAGACGCTCTTTGTGCGTCCCCCGATAACGTTAAGGGACAGCCAATAAAAGCTTTGGGTGAATGTATACTTCTTCAAGGTTTCTTGGCTCCGCTGCTACTAGGCATCACTCTCCTTATCTTGGCTGTTATTGTCCTGATATTAGCAGTTCGCCGACCAAGCACATCAACTCGTCACAGACGCCATCCTGGCTGTAGTTCTTCTAGTTCTACTTCAAGTTCTAGCTCAGCTTACCAACTAGGTCATGACAGCCTCTTACCATCATCTGTTGTTACATACGGCTCGAAAAAGCATAAACAGTATGCGTTCGACCAGTACATACCATCACCTTGTGAATCATCAAATGACTCGGCTTATGAAAGCCCAATAAGCTCATTCTTACCGCCTGCAACACCAGCCCCCACATATTACTCATTGGGACCAAATTCTGGAAAATATATCTTAACCGGGCATGTTCCTTCCACTTGCATTTGAGAGACTAAGTTTCCGAACAGCTGAGCTGTTCTTAGGTTAATATATTTTCCAAGAATTATGTGCTTCCATCTTTCTCGGTTATGTCTAAATTTCTATCTTCCAACATTCCAAAACTTGTGCTGGTCAGCGGGTCTGTTCTTCAAAACAAATTTCTTCCTCCTCTTTATGTAAACTTAAAACGGGTACTGTATAGTTATTTTCTCAAATTGAGGAAGTATTTTTCAAATCATCATCTTCTCATGTGCATGAGCTTCTTTCTAATTGTAGTCATCGTGTTGAATATAATAAACTGTTAATAATACAACTTGTGTTTGAATCAGATTTGAAAGCCGTTAATTAGCATACGCGTTCGAATTTCATCAGATTAGCATAACGACAAGGCGCGCGCGTTACACGTTCATTTCTACCGGATGACTTTTATCGCCCGGTTGCATTTCATAATTTCAAATCGTCTTTGTCATCGTCGATAACTATCTTTATGGGCTGTAAAAAACTGTAAGTCATAACACAAAGTTCAATTTATACATATAATTAGCATGGTCAGAAAAACAATTCTCAATTTTATGAATACGCAAAAAACCGTCTGGTCAGCTGTATTGAAAATGGAGGGAAAATTAGGGAGGATTTCCGGCTTTTCATTAATTTGAAATTGTCAGTCATCAATTAAGCAAACACCTACTAATAAACATATTAACGGTGAGTCTCTTTAGTATTTAACTGGCTTGCATGCCTCTTTTTGTTTTTCAAACGTGTACAGTCAAGGCCATCCCAATGGTTTCTTAATTGAATTTCACAAATCTCGTTAGCTTTTTGCGATATGAAAAAGTGTTGTATGGTATATGAGTTATGTGATAAGAACACATACAACAAGACCATTAGTTCAACAACTTCAAATGTAAATTTGTGTTTTTCAATTGCATTTTACAGTTGGTCAGCTCGTTTTCTCGAACAAACTAATTTTCTTTTATAGTCCTTATAGTCGCTTTCTATGATATGCGCCTTGACATTACTGAAACAAGCTTGTTTTGTTTTTGTATCAATCTGTGTGTTATTCAATTTGAACCCTTTTGCTGTAAAAGAATGGTTTATAAAACGAGCTGCTAGCCTTGCTTGTATATTTGCGATTGCGATAGGCTATTCATGTACTGCTAATGGTACCAGATCCACGCTTCAAGAACGTGTACCGTCCCATATTCGGCAGATTCTATCGCATTTCGTCAACTTTTTAGTGTTGTGTTCGTGTCGTCTATGAAAACGAATAGTTTCAATCAAGTCATTGCACTGTTAGCTGTTCTATTCCTACTCATTCATATCTTCTTATAGTACTTTACTGGCAGCTTACCAGAAGTTATGATTGATTACTATCTTTTTAAGATGTTGGCAGCATTTCAATAGCTATTCTTCGATCTTATAAACCAGGACGTTCAGAGCTGTTGCATTCTCTTCCTATGTATTTCGTTTCTCTCACTCCTTCTCCTTCTCCTTCTCATTCTCTCTCTCTTTCTCCATCTCTTTCTCTTCTTCTCAAACTTTTTCTTTGGCCGATTTTTGTTTTCTCACCTAGATTTTCATTGAATATTTAGTCTTTGTGTTTTTTGATAAGTTTTGACAGCTTCTCTGTTGCATTACACATCTGCATTTTGCCAACTGAAGAGAGATTTTAAGAGATTTAAAGCCAAGAAAAGAACTATCAAGCAACTGTTAAGCGCTATCTCACTATCTCAATCTCTCCATAGCCTTTGGCCAACTTTTTTTTCTTTTTTTTTCCTTACAAATTATAGGAGGTTTTTCATTAAATTTTAAATTCTTCACAATGACTTCTACATATATCTAGCTGTAATTCTAGACGTTTCAGCTTCTCATGTTTGGTTCTTGCATGTCTTCACCTCGCTAATCCTCGTTCTTCGAGCTTTTTTGTTGAACTTTGTCTTGACACCTTAGAAAAACTAAAAGTATCAAATGATAAGCTTCATTTTCTCTCAGTTTTTTTCTGTCTGAAACACCTACCTACAGCAGCTTATTATTCTTTCTCATAATGATGAGTTGTTTTTGACTAGTTATGAGACTTCTCAATCTCAAAGTATAAAGCAATTGAATGTCCTTTTCTCGAATAAGATTGTTGCGCTCTTTCAAGTTTGACCCTTTGAATTTACGAGCAAAACAGACGTTCTAAGTACCAATTAATCAGTTTCTTTTTTTTTCTTCACATTTCTCATCTTCTCCTTCCATACCCATCTATAACAAGAAGATGATGTTATGCTGACGAGACAATGAGACGTCTATTCTTGGTTATGTTGGAGCAACAAATGAAATTCTCTTTTTTGCATATGATGATACATCTAATGAACAGCCGTATAGTAAGATGCTCATTAAGCTGAAACTTTCAACGTTCTCTTGCGGTTTCAAATCTTTTTTTGCACAAGCGTTTATCTTCTTTGTCATCGACATTTGATTAATCTCTGTTCATTTTCGTGAATTTGAACTAGCATAAGCTGCTCATCCACCAAAATGTTGATTTCGTTCTCTCGAAAAACGAATGTGATGCTATCCTCACACAGCTTGATGATTGTCATTTAATTATAATAACTGCTGGATGTGTGTGTGTTATGTTTTGTGAAAAATTGAGAACAATGGCATTGGTCACATCTCTATCAGTCAGACTAAAAAATTTTTGTTTCTTTCATTTCACTCATTCATCATCATCTAGAGAATCAATTGCTATTTTCTTCCTTTTGACTCTCATTCTTCTTCCTCCATTAGTTGTTTTTGTTCAAATTGAAAAAATAGAAAATATGAGAAAACTTAAATCCTCGAACGACATGGACATGGGCAGCTTGATCCGCTTCCGAACACCTTCTCACTTTTAAGCTCTCTTCTCTTCACTCTCTCTATAGTTATATATCTGATGCAGTCACAGTGATCATTTTTATAATCTTTCCTCAGTTTAACTTCTTATCATTGCGTTTGTATTGATAAATCGTTCAAGAAATACTTAATTATCACTATAAAGTCCTGTTTTTATGATATTCGGACGTCATTTTCGTTTTCATTCACGTAATTCATCATTTACAGAAATCCAAATGTTGCTCTCCTGATGCAGTTCTTCTTACTTCTAATCAGCTTACTCATATTCATTGCTCTATGTAGCGCAGATCGACCGTCAGAGCCAGCTATCATTCACATTTCTAATAGTACGAATTGATTGAACATCCAGTGCTATAGTTCGTTTCAGGTACTAATATCAAGTTCAAAGATGATTCTCAACTTACCATTCTACACAACTATGGATCGCATGTTTTGCTTGGCGGAAGGTTTTTGCTTTCTTCTCTTCTCCTTCATAAACAACTTTGTTTAGAAATGCTGTATATAACGTCTCTCTGCACCACATGGCCATAACGTATTCCTATGTATGGCCAACATCAAGAGAATCATATGAAGAATGCACTTTAATAACTAATGTCAGTTCTTACCGTATTCTCTATCATAATCTCACAATTACATTTTCAGGCAAATTGTCATAACTATATACGGTCGTATTATATGAAAAGTCCTACGAGAATCGTTTTTTGCGGAACTCATGGCAGACATCCAACCTGCAAGGAGTTTGAAGTTCTCTCTTCACGTAAGTCTATTTCACTTCATATGTTTTGCCCTCCTTCTCCATATCATATTCAATTCTATGCCAATAGATAATTCAGTTCACTGTTGTTTTCTTCTTTATTTTCAAATTTGAAGGCTCTTTCAATGAATGGGAAGGTGTGGGGCTCAGTCCATTTATAGAAGATGAATCTAATCCATTCCTCAATGCGCACGGACAAATATTTGCTGTTAATGGTACGATTTTCTAGAAATGTCATTTTCACTCTTTTTCTCTTTCAGTTCCTGAGTATTCTGGTACTGATGCTATTCTTCTACGTATGAACACTTCAAAATCTGATAACATGATCAGAACGGCACGAAGAGAATCTGTGTTCGACGATGCAAAGGTTCTGGCATTAGAACCGAACGGCAATGTTAGTAACTTACACAAATGGCTCTCAAGATACCTTGTTCTTCAGGAATTATTCACTTTCTTTGCCGAAACTCCATCTGAAAGAGAGGAATATGGACAGAAACGTGTAGCCCGAGTTGCACGCGTCTGTATGGATGATCCCGGAGCAGAGTAACTTATCTGGTCCCGACTTGGGTTTCATTGTGTATACTTCAGATATCATAAGGATGAATGGAGTTCATTTGCTAAAGCTCGAATCGAATGTGGTATCAAAGAGATGGATATGAACACTCTGTATTTTAATTTGGTTTGTTCCAATTTTATGATTAAAACTTACTGTTAATTTGACATCTTCAGTTGGTATCCGTTTCTCCCACAAGTGATTACTTCATTGGAGCTTTTCGATCTCAATTGGCTGCCCTTAACGGTTCTGCCATATGTCTTTTCCGAAGAAAAGATCTTTCACACACATTCCGATCCGCCTTCACTTCATCGCCGAAAAACTCCAATAGATGTCCACGAGCTGTTTCCAGAGATGAACAAACTAAAATGCGCGGAAAGCCTCTGATAAACTCAAGTATGTTAAGAATATGCTTTGGCTCATATCATATCACTCTACTCAGGTGTTTTCTCAACTCCTTCATTCCACTATTATGGTAACGATCTCTTCACTTCTATCGCTGTCGAAGAAAACGTCGAAGGTTCATAATCCTTTCATTAGTTGTTACTCTTTCTCTTCTTCAGACTTGAATGGTGAGGTCTATGATATTTGGTACATTGGTACTAATCTGGGACATATAATGAAAGTTTGGTATTCCGATGGTAAAGCTCATCATTTTGCAACGTTCAAGTTCATGGAGGTTTGAATTCCTTCTCTTTACTGAAAAACGCAATCTGAAATCTTCAGGAGAACTCACCCATCAGATCAATTTTCATCCACACAGAGCACTTACCTACATCTTCAAAAGATGTTAATAAAGCCTCGTATTTGATTGTTCAAACAAAAAATGAGGTGAGGCTAGCTATATATGAACGGTCTTACTCAGTGTAATGGTTTTTTTTGAAGTTAGTGCGACTGCCAACATCAGCATGTTCTATGCAAACTACTTGTACAGCTTGTCTATCCTTCCATGATCCTTCTTGTGCATGGGTGTCATTGGGATCAGACTGCGTGAATATTCATGAAAATCAGCAGTATGTTTCCAAAGTCTTCCGCAGGAACGTAACTGATTCCATTTCAGCCGACGTTCATTACTAACCCAAGATCACTGTGAAAAATCTGAAAAGAAACGTAGGATACCTCCAGGTAGAATGGAATAACCAGAATGCTTCTTAATACTATCAGTTCTCAGCTACAACACAAGCTCCCATGTGTGGAGCACGCATAATTGAAGAAACAGACCCGAGGATCGTTGAAGCAACCATTCTTAAAACACTAGGTGAGTATTTTATTATTTTCTACCTATCTGATATGACTTTTTCAGCGGAAGCACCGTATATCCTTGTCTTTGTGTCTGGATTGTTGTTCGGAGCACTGTTCATTCATCTTGTATATTCCTGGAAGTCTTAGTAGGTTCCTTCTCTTTACTGTAGTATAACTTGTTTTTAGTAAACGCTGTCCTCTGCAAGAAAAGCCTGCAGTTATCAGTGCATACAATGAGATGATGAGAAGTAGAACAAGCTCGCATATCATGTCTTCATCTCGGTCAACCTACTGTTAACGATTTCAGCGCACCTATGATTTCGTTTGTGAATATTTTTTTTTCACGGGTTTTTTTTCTTGAATACAAAGTCTTTAGCATCCTCTGTTACTCACTTACGAAGTTTTATTCAAATGACTGATTATACATTATTTTACTGTTCTCTTCCTCGTTATATTTTCGTAAATCATCACTGAGAAGCTGCTCAGAGCATCTTCGAAACTGTCCACAACAGTTCATTCAGAAAGACAACAGTTTTATACTATTTGGGTTAGAATGCAACCGTTCTGGACGGTTTGGGAGGAATGCAACCGTTCTGGACGGTAGGGGTAGAATGCAACCGTTCTGGACGGTCTGGGTAAGGCCTGGATGAGTCCAGGCCCTATCTCTGGCATGGGAGCCGATGAGCTTTTCCCCCCTCTCTGGAGGACCTCCAGGGAGGGAGGAGTGGAGCTCACCGGCTCCCACCGCCAACTGAAGTGATTCGGCTGGTCCACAGCTTATATACCCCGCGGAAACGCGCCACGTGAAAATAATTTTTACGTGAGAAAAAAAATGACCCGGTCGTTCTCTTTCGGGAAAACGATGAAACTTGGCTCAAAATTCATGAAATCGGTTGTTTTTTGGGTTTTTTCAGATCAGAATTTCATTTTAAACTCGAATATGAACCTCATTTGTTAGTTTGATGGGTGGAATTGCTTCAAACACGTTCAAGCTCAATATAAGATCTATTGAAAACACTATAACTCGAGATGAAATCTCGATCAACGTGCTCCGTTGTGATATGTTCAGGACCGGAATCGAT